CGCATCTGCGTTTGTCCGGGGGTAGGGGGGGGGGGGGGGACGACAAGCCTGCAACGAGAGACACTGATGCGGCGAGGTACGTAGTAGATGGACATCCCTCCTGGCTGGGCTAGAGTTTTGCTGAGGCGTGGGGGGCGGGGACGGGTTTCTTCCCATCTTGCTCGTTTGTCTCTGCTTCGGCTGATACAATATATATATATATATATATATATTCTCTCTTTTTTTTCCTTTCGATTGGTTAGCGAATTGAAACCCTTTGTCATCGTCCCGAGTGTTTAAGTGTTTGGGCAAGTTGTGGTAGGCAGAGAGAAGGTTGATGATAACGTTTCGGGGAAGTCTGAATGTGATCTGGAGAAGTTTCACGAGTTGTCACGTGCAAGGAAGCGAGACGTCGGTGGGAGAGTACCGGTAGGTTGTGGGGTTGATGGATGTTTGCCATAGTGATCGATTAAGGAAGGGTTTGACATTTGAGTCTGGGATTATGCATACATTTAATGTTTAGCTAGTTGAGCTGAATATGATCGCCAAAGGCAGGGCCCGTGAGGCAAGGCACCTTGGGATTTTTGATAGTTGAGTGGTGGCGAATAGAGCGTGGTTTCGACACAATCTGATCTTCCCTCAGTGCTTCGACTCTCGTTCCGTTGCCACCCTGTAGTTTGTTTTGACTGCTGAGCTGTGTGTGCCCTTATCTTTAACTTGCATAATCAATCGTGCACAGTGTAGATATTCGGTAGGTTTAGAACTATACTGACAGGTTGAGACGTGATACATCAATGCACTCGAGACCGTTAAGGCCTCCCGCCTCGTCCTCGTCCGAGCTTAAGCATCGAACAGCAAACAATAGGTTCCACGTCCAAGCCCATGCGATCCAGGATCCAAAAACAGGGCGATCCGAAGTAGAAGATCGAAGAAAGCCTGTGCAGTTGTTTCAGCAGGTTGTTGGATTGGGAGAAGAATGCTCGAGCTCGTGGCGTCTTTCTCGCCTCTCTACAAGTCAAGTCAGGCAAGCTAGCTAGCCGCCCTTAGTCGGGTCTGTGTATCTGTGTTTGCGTCTGTGTTGAGATGATTGACTGAGTGCAATCGCGGTTTGATATTTTCGCGTGTATTCCTATCCCGTTACTAAGCAAGCAAGCAAGCAAGTAATCTTTCAGTTCGTCTCGCTCTGATCTGATGGAAGAAAGTCGTTGAAGTAGGTAGCAAGAGTAAAGTAAGTACCTACCTACCTACATACGTACGGAAAGCGGTCGGAAGAAGAACAGCCAAGCAGCAACACATCTTCCTCCCAATCATCCCCCATTCTCATTACCCAAGTCCGTATTAAGTAATCGAAGAATCCCAACCTAGAATATTCTTTTTTTAAAGAGCAAGCGCGCAAGGCAAGATAAAGACGAGAGATGACAAACCAACCCTAGGTACCTACCGGTATCACTCAACGCAACTCACCTTCCCCATCAAAGAAAAAAAAAAAAAATTCCATTCCTTCTCCCATTCCTTCCATCAAACCCCCCCTTCCCTCCCCCGAAGAAGCGGCACATCCTTCGCTCGTGGGCGGGCTAGGGGCGGCCTAATTATTAATTATTCCTTCGCCTTCCGCCATGGATCCTATCGTCACGCAACTACCTACCTACCGTACCTACCTAACCTATCTCTTATCTCCGACTATTTTTACCTGGTACTTTTTTTTTGGCGCTAACCTCCTGCCACGAGTCACCATGAGGAGAACTAGAGCAAAAAAGCAAAAGAAGCATCGAAGCACGGGAACGCGTTGGGGGTGGGGGTACGGGGACAGAGAGAGAGAGAGAGGGGGGGAGGTTTTTTCCCTCATTCCTTGGTCTGGTTCTTCTGCTCTCCCTTCCCCCTCAATCCGCACGGTTGATGGCGGCGGCGGCCGCGATACAACTGATAACGAATTGTCTACGGTACACCAATCTAATCGCCGGCCATCTTACCTACCCACGGGACAGGCCTAAGTATTCCCCCACGAGGGTGCCTCCAAATTTTGGTTTCCCCTTTAAACCCCCTGGTTTCCCTGCCCTCGAGGGGTAATACTTTACGCCTGCGACGTAGTAGTACCGGTAATCATCATGTAAAATTGACCCGACCTGCCCCTGCAAGGCGGAACCACCACGGTGGGGGAACACCTAATTTTGCCCTCATACCAGTAAAATCGCCAGAAAATCCCCCCCCCCCCCATCACATCGGAGCTATTTCTGTATGAAAAGACGCAGCCTACTGCTTTTCATCACCATTATCAACTTCGCATATGAATTTTAATCCTACACATTTCTGTGGGATTATCGCGCCGGGTGGAGGTACCGTAGGTAGTAAAAATGGTACTGCTGGCATAGGTACGGTACCGGTACATACGTGCTCTTGACGATGCAGATCCGTGCGCTGACGAAGCGAGGGGGAGGTCAACAACGCCGCCCTTCTTCTCACGCGCCGGGGACAGCTGCCGATTTGCAGCACGGGTCCACCCATCCTCATCCTCACCTACCTTTTTCTTTTTTTTTAAAAAAAAAAAAGAAAAAATTTAGATTTGGAAGCGTAAATCGCTATGTAATTTAGGTCGTAAATCATCGCTTGCACGAGTGGAGAAGAGGTCGGGATGGCTAAACGATACCACGTAGATTGGTATTGTCCCAGGCCTTTCTCTGAACTGCGTCATAAAGAACCGGTAATTCTAATCCCAAGAGTTTTTTTTTTTTTTGGGGGGGGGGGGGTAGTGTTGTGAGCCCGTGCTGCCAAGCGGCAGCTTTCCCCGGCGCCGCGTGAAGAGAGAGAGAGAGCGCGCCGCCCTTCGCGCGTCTCGCAAGCCAGGCGCCGCGGCTCTCTGAACGGGCTATGGGGAATCGACTCCGAAGATGGCGCAGCTGCTCGCAGCTGTACATAGTAGCGACTTAAAACTTCACGAGGAGACTGATGCAAGCTATGAGGAGCGAGGTGGGGGACGATGGGTTAGGATAAAGTACTGATTTGATAGGATTTCAAACATGCGTATAGGTATAGGTGTGCGAGGATGAAGGTGTCAATACGGGAATAGGCGAGGAATGCGGAAATGGGACTTCCGTCCAGAGCTGGTAGGAATCACATTTTTATGCTATGGACTTTCATTTAGGAATGTTTTCTGTGACGATATGACGGATTTATTATTTCCTATTGATGATTTTTTTCTAAAGTTGTGGTTGCTGAGATATCCAAAGCGAACAGGTAAGGAAAAAAAAATATAATTATTGAAGACAGTTCCTGACTATATTCTCACCCCATTTCAAGATTCCGCCTTGCCATAAATAGATGCATCGTCATACCTACAATAAACATTTGTAAAGCAATGCTTTCCAAGCACTGCAAATGAACATGTTGTTTTCATGAAAGTGTCCCTCCCGCCTCGGGTGGCGCGTGGTGGGTGGGTTCTCCTTCCGTCCAGTCAAGTCTACCTACCTAGTTAGTTCCGTTACGAAAAATCTCTTTTTATAAACGAGATTCTACATCTCCTCTTTCTTTCCATTCTCTTGTCCTTCCCTCCCCCCCCCCCCCCCCTAGTAAGTTATACCTACTCACTCGTAGGTGGGCGGATGATTACCTATTCCAAGGCGAAGCCAAAGAAAGCCAAGGCTACGTACGGCCCACGCAAGGGAAGGGGAGCATGTCACGGAGAGTTACCGTACGACAAGTGCCAGCGAGAAAAAAAGGTCAGCGAGATGGGGAGTCATGATCGTTGGAAGTGCTGGAGATGGGGTAGATCATGTACATACATATATACACACATATACACACATACATATATACATACATGCTAATAAGCAAAGACATCTCTGTATATGTATATGTACATAAATAAACACGTTAGTAAACAGAGACACCTCTGCACATACAAGTACCGGTACAAGTATGTATATAAATAAATCTGCGATCAAGCACAAGATATCTATGAATATTCTCATACGCTGAGATATCTTTGAATATATATATATATATGTATGTATATGTGTATGTATGTATGTATGTATATAAATATGGTAATAAGCAAAAAGGATTTCGAGATCGGTTTTTCGAGAGTCCCAAGCCTATATATCGTGCACGGGTACGGTAGATATATATATATATATATATATACACCCTCTTGGAGCAGCGATAGGAAAATAGATCCAGTGGGTAACTGTTGACAGGCTTGGTACGGTAGGTATAGATAGATAGATAGATAAATAAATGGAGAAGGGAGCCAGGCAGGACGTCTTGGTCATGCCGGGGGTATCTGTCCATTCTCCGTGCAGAGCTGTCAGAGTCCAGGGTATTGGAAGCCTTTCACTATTTTCTTTTGTGTACTTTTGTGTAACTTTTGTGTACTTCCAGCTCACAAGGTGGGACTTTTTGCCTCTGCTGTCTGCATCTACCTACCGGTACTACGTACAGTACTACCGGTATGTCTGTAGCGCAGTACCTACCTACCGTAGCGACCGGCTCCCTACAGTAGGTAC